TCTATAAGATCACTCAAGAGATTTAAAAAGGTTCAAAATACGAGAGATTTAGAGTTATGCCGAAACATTCCCCTGTGTTTGCCAGCATGTACCACCGCATTTTGCATCTTCGTGGTTCTTGTCGTCTGTTCTGTCGGTAATCTAACAGTGATTTCATTAATATTCAAATACACGGTAATTTCTGTGCTCGGGAAAGCTTACTGATAATTTTTCACTTAGAAAATGGGGAAAAGAAACAAAGAAAAAATGCATTTCCTTGTGGTTGCGTGCTGCACATAGCACGCCATCCACAATGTACTAACAAAGCTACCCGACTGCCTCAGCGACTGAAGTGACCCGATTGAAGTTGATGGTAGTATGAAGCAGTTTGATCAGTCCTCTCTGTGAGTACTGTTGTCCTTGGTGGTGCCTGGATACTTTATCTTGGTACTGTTTCAATTACTTCTGATAGATTGGGTTTATCAACCTCGTGAGGATAACTTGGTAATGTTGCTTCAATAGACAATATCAAGAAATTCCTATTTCAAACCCTAGTGAAACAAATGCAAATGCTTTCAGGACTCTGTGCTTGAAAATTCGTTGAGTAGATTCCCCTGTTGTAGAATAAATTTGCAATATTATGTGCATTTTCCTTTCTGAATTGTTGTTTTTCAGTCAACAGAAACCAAATCGTTCGGCTCTACAGTCGTTTTCTGTCCTTGGATAAGAAAGGTTTGTAAATTTTTATTCAGCTTACTAGGTCATTTTTGTTGTTCATCTGTTCTATGAAGATTTAAGCCGTAGCCATAGCTCGCGAGCGTAGCAAACGCTGGCACCCTACGCGAGGCCACTTCGGCTTTCGATCCCGCGGAAAGGAATTGCCAGAATTATTACCCATCCATGCTTACACGATTAAGACATGCTTAGGATTTCAGAATTATATGCCGTGAACTATAATCGTTGTTATATTTACGATCTTTTCAGGCCAAGGATTTCTCTCTCGTGACGATTTCCTCAACGTGCCTGAATTAGCTGTAAATCCTCTTGGAGATCGCATCGTGGACGCATTTTTCACTCTGGCGTGAGTTGCTTTTATATTATATGCTAAAAAAAGCTAAATATCGTTCAACATTCAGTTTGTATGAAGTCAGGAGTAAGTCTTCATGTTGAAGTCAGGAGTAAGTCTTCATGTCTGAAGTGGGTCCTACTTACGTCTCACGATGTTTTAAATGTGGGGTAGTGTAGAGAGTCAATCCATTGTCCGTCCACCGACATAGGCATCGTCTTCTAGTGTCACGGGCTATCATTCGTTTCTGCTGTTCGTTGCTCACCGAGTTCAGAACATGTTCCAAGCATTTCTTTGTGTTCGTTTAACGGTTTTGACGAGTTAAATATGACTGACCCAAGTTTTGGCCCAAGAACGCAACGCGTTCATTTCTCAATCGCATGTTCTGGTCGTAACGTCTTCCATCCGTGTCGTCCGATGTGGGCTATGTTTCGCGCTTCCTTAAAAGATCCAGTCAGTGTCAGCCCTGGATTTAGGAAGTCGCATGACGTGGCTGGCCTATCCGATCCACCAAGATTTCTCGACACCGAAAAGTCCTTAATCTGCGATCATTTAAAAGTTCCAGGCTCTTTACTTTGTCTTCATAACGATGACGGAAGAAGGGAGGACGGCACCCGGCAGGAGTTGCCTCGATGGTACAGCAACGTAAACACTTATCAAGGTTTCGATCAACGGAAATGATGTGGGAGTTTAAATCGAGAGCTGTTGTAGCCTGTCTCTTTCAAGCGACATTAAGTTTAAGGACAGTCGTAATTCATGCATGAATTGCGCATGATAGTGCAAATTGTGAATCTTTGAGGTTTTGGCTGTTTCAGTGGCGAAAACGAACAGCAGTTGAATTTCCGTCAATTTGTACGAATTTTGGCTCACTTTCCAGCCGATCAACCGTTCTAAGAAAAATGCACTGAACGGAAGGACAGAGAAGCTGAAATGTACGTTCTTGCTTCACTTATCCATTTTCTATCCATTGCATCTTTGCGCGTCCCTGACACCCGTGACTAACTAAAATCGGCCACAGCCTTTCACCGCATTGTCTGATAGTAAGGATGTGGCCACATTTCCTGCTCTGAATTTCTAGGATTGTTTAAGTCTATTAATTTTCGTTATCTATTAGATATAATAGTTTAGTCCAGTGCGGTAGAAGTTCTAGTAGCTGTTTTTTAACCTTTTTTTCACAAGACCTATCATTTCAGTTGCTTTTCAAATGTATGACTTAAACAAGAATGGCTATATAACTCGAGAGGAGTTTAAAGTTATCCTGAACAGTATGGTTGGAGCGAATATCACAGCAGAACAGGTTAGGATGAATTTTTTCTATGAATGTCTATCATTAACAGTACTTGCTTGAGCCAAGAATGAGCTTGTTTCAGCTCGACCAAATAAGCTGACAGAACTAATCGAGGCAGCGAATGGGCGACAATGATGGACAGAATTTTCGTATTGAAAGAAATTCTGCAGGGTTTGGTTTTATAGAGATACTGTTGCTGCTCAACTGCGCTCAGAACCCGGTTTATTCAAGAAAGCAGAAGGCAAAGTTTGAGATAAAAAGGAACTTCTCAATTTTTTCTTGGAATTTTGAGTTATTATTGCCACCTTGGATTTTTAGATAATTTCAATTTCCATGTTTTTGGGTTGCCTCTGCTGTAGTGATTCTCTTCTTAATTGTGTCGTTACAGGCTATGGAAAAGACAGACATAGAAGAGAAAATGTCGATCCGATTCCTCAACTAACCCAAATGGTTCCTGTTAGCTAAGTGCCCTTACGTTCAACAAATACGGTTTACGACATTTTCCCGTGTACGGTGACGATTATCGGCAAGCTAGTGCTAAGAGGGTAGCTTTGGAATGAAGGTGTCGTCAATCATGTCCATTCTTGAAGATGTATTTGCATAATGATGTCACTATGTATTTTAAATTGCCTCATTTACTGATTTTTTCATAGCGCGACAAGTACTTAAAGTGTGATGCACATATTGTTATATACAGTTCCTATTGCGATGTACACATGATGTTTTTACAGTACTTCAGATGTTTCTATTTTTGATTCTATATATGATTAGAAATAAAAATGAAATTCAGAAAGTGCTATGGGAAGATACTCGTTGTGATCTTGCCAATATTTCGGTTGTCTTAAAATCATTGAAATTTACTTTATTACAAAATCGTGAATTAGTACGGAAAATCTTTTTTCTCACAACAAAGAACTAAAATAACAAAGACTATAATTATGCTTAAGAATGTTTTTCTAAGTTTCTCTATTAGGACTAGGAGCGCCTCGTTTTCCATCTTTCTTTGCCTTCTTCTTTCTTCTCTCGCGATCCTTATTGATAGGTAGTAACGCTTCCGCTCCCTTATCATGTGGAGTGCAAGCAGTAGCAGCTTAAAAGAGCACCTCATTGGTCATCAAGAGAGGTAAAGAATACTCAGAATTGATTCGCTAGGCAGACGTCAGACTGCGACAAGCCCACATTTCGCACGGTTTGCGCTGTATGTTCGGATGATGCAAGGCCCCACTAGGCAATGTTACCCTTCTATGCAATGGGCTCAGTTTCGCGTTAAAATCCTCTAGGAATTACTAGCGGAACAGCTACTACTGTCGTGTTTTTGGTTTGCATGTAATGTGTTGAGGTAATTAATTAAATGCGCATAAGGTCTGTAAAATGTTTTTGGAAGCCAAAGTGAATGACTAGATTTTATTGTCTCATTCTAGCCCTGAAGAGCTCGTTAAGCTGCTTGGTAGACTTGCATTTCATTCATGGAAATGTTTCCATTACAACGTTTTACATCAGGTGAGAGTGTCGGAAGATTTTTTAACTGTGATAAAAAGCTCCAGATCTGGTGTTAATAAGTTTAGGTACGCGCGCGTTGGGGAAGGTGCGTGGAGTACTCCTAATGGGGTCAACGGAGCACTATCTGCTTCCGAGAACCTGGTGCGAGTTGAATGCAGACCGCACACCACAACTGACGACGGTTTCCAACGTAAATTTGATAACTGTGGTTCTTGATAGAATACAAGTGCTGATCATTTCAGGGCAGAAATAATAACTAATCCATTCTGTGGAGCACGTCGTCAGACATGCAACTTTTTATTCTGACTCGACGCGCCACTTTAGTTTCGGAAACATGGTTATATGTTCTAATGTTCTGAATAAAGTCTCATTCTTGTGCTAATCCCATAATGTGTTTCGCCATGCATAAAAGCATGATTTTCCATAGATTTAGCCACAAACTATTACTAAACGAGTCACGATGTCTGAGAAAAAAAGTATACCTTCCCTTCCAAAAAAAAAAAAACGAAAGAACTGTCGGTTGCAGACCAATAGACCAACAAGTGCGAGACCTCCAAGCAAATCTGCTAGGTAGTTGTTCTATTCAGTGATAAGTTGATTCTTAGTAATGATATTTGTAATAGTGAATGAGGGGCACTATGCTATTAGGTTGTCTCATAAACAGTGTCGCTTTTTTTCAACCAAAAGATTTTCATCTGAATCCCCACATGCTTTTACATCGTGTTATATACCATTCGAAAGAGAATTGTCTGCTCTACAAGATGCTGTGTTCCCCTTCCAACTTTCGACGCAGGGTTTTCAAATTTTAGGCCTGCGAAATGGGAGGTCCAGCCGACAAAAATTGACCAAACCGACAACTAGCTCTAACTTTATTTCCCTGGGGAGAAATCAATCAATGATGTACCCTCTACTTACTCATGACCTCTTCTGAACATTCCACCCTTAGGTTGCCGAAAAAGCTTTGCCGTGTTTCTTTTCGAATTGGCTGACCGATAAGCCATAGCAATTTTCAAATTAAAATTGTTCCTCGTAAACGCCATTGTTTCATATCGAGTGGTGTTCCTTTTGTGAGCACTTCTTCTGCTCTATCGCTCATTTTTTGTTTTCTGTTTGTTGGGAATTAGTTCGAATTTTAGGTGTTTAGGAATAAGGTGCTTTATCCGCGAAAGTGACCGCATTTCTTTGAAAAAAATTATCCCTGAGAAGATGAGAAAATCAACCAGGCGTACATTCCTAACTTAGTCATGACTTGTTCTTCAAATTCTACTAGTTTTTCAATGTCTCGGCTATAAAAAAATTTCGACCTAGATCTCAGGTAATGGTGCTTGACCGTCGAGTTCTGGTTGAAAAACCAGGTCTGAAAATGGAACGACGCGACTTGTTGGGAAACCTAATAGTGTAATGTTTAGAAGAGGTCATGCATAAGTAGAGGGTACATCATTGATTGATTTCTCCCAAGGGAAAATAAAGTTAGAGATAGTTGTCGGTTTGGTCAATTTTTGTCGGCTGGACCTCCCATTTCGCAGGCCTAAAATTTGAAAACCATGGAACATAGATGGAAGAGGAACATATATCTTGTAGAGCAGACAATTCTCTTTCGAATGGTATATGACTCGATGTAAAAGCATGGGGATTTAGATGAAAATTTTTTGGTTGAAAAAAAGCGACACTATTTATGAGACAACCTAATAAAATGGATGAAGTCAAGCCTCCCAATGGAGTGTCCATGGTTGATAGAAGGTCGTTCAGGACCAATTGTCTCTGCAGTTATCCAGATCAGCGATCGTGGTGCGACTAGCATGGCATAGTGCAACGACTGACTAAGGCTCAGCGGACCCGCGATGCTCGCGGGACTGACGCTAGTGGCCAGAAGAATGATATTTGTAATTTAGTGACAGCTGATAGAATACAACTGCAACAGGCTAATCATTTCATTGGCAGAAAACGTTCACATTTTGTGGAGGCCGTCGTCATTTGTGGTGTATGGTCTGCACCCGACACTCCTCTCGTTTTTTGAAAGGGAGAACGGTCTTTTGTTAGTTCCGCGTCCAGTTTTTCGACCACTATTAACGCTTGTGATCATTGCTCAAGAACCCACCTTGTTCCTTGGTGAATGTACCAAATTCGCCCATTTTAACAATTGTCAGCACTTTAGAGCAGTTGACATGAATTGCAGCGCCAGCTTTGCAGTTCGATTCTCCTGGCGCCGACCAGATCGAAAGCGTTCGTGCTCCGAACGACTGCAAATTGATGTCAGATGGATACGGTGTTGATATGACCTTTTGTCAGCAACCAGTCAATTCTTCTCTTTGGCTCGAATGATCGGCAAATTGTGAACGCGGAAAATGCTACGGCGTGGGCGGTAAATATGACATTCATTTCCTGTAGGAGCCTGCGTCTCCGGGCGTACTAGTGCTAGTGGAGGTTGTTACAGTAACGGGCAACTAAGGATTTAGCTTCAACCATGTAAGAGTCAAGCTGTTTTTCTTTGGAGGCCCCCTAAAAACGATACCTGATATCCTTGTTTGACAGGATTTCTGCTTCTGACAAGCATCTCCATTCCCAGTGCTCTGAGAACAAGTTCCGTTTCGTCACACATGGGATTGAATCGACGACCACGGGCGCCTTGAAAGAATCCGCTCGTTTCTTTTAAAATCTGTTATCGCGCAGGGAACTCGATGACCGACAGCGAGCCCGTTTCGCGCTGCCAGAATGTCAAGCAGGTTAGGTTGGGGTGGGGGCAGGTCACAGCGCGAACTGCAGTATTTTCGTCAAGTCAAATAGAATGTACTACAGTACGTTCCATTCACACAGCACACGCTGCGACTCGTCCGCTGATCCGTCTGCGTCTCTGCCTTCTCATCGCGCAAAGGGCTTCCTACCGGGTATCCCAAGAACTGGAACGTATCGCGTACCGGGTATGAGTCCAGCCGTTTTGCTGACCACACTGAAAATGAGATCCGCTGCAACTGTGCCCTTTCTGATATGATGTATCGGGCGTCTGATGTCGGTGACGTCACTCAATTTTGTAAGCTGAAATAGAAGTGTGCCTTTGTTTGGTAACGTGGGATTCACTTTGTGTTGAGGTACCAGTTCTCAGGGACAAGTTAGTCAAATCGATAGCCGCGGATTATTTCCTGCTGTGTTTGACGTGTAGGAAAACTAGATTTGGGTTTAACCAGCTCATTACACTATAGGCGTGAGCGCAGATAATCTCCGGGAAATATACCAATGGAAGTGGGTTAAAGGCAATGGTCTAGACAGCTGGAGGGCGGTTCGAATGTGATGACGTTATTGTGCATCGTTGTTGGTCTAGATTCCCGAGGTAAGCAAACCAGCCCTTTTGGCGTTTCTGCTGGGGCCGTATGCTGAATGTTGGGGAGGGGATGGGGTCCCCGAGCGGTCGACGGACTACTTGAACTCGGTCGGTACGGTAGGAGAGTGATGACGAAGTGGTGCAGCTGGTCCAGCAGCTCCGCCAAAAGGGCTGGTTTGCTTACCCCAGGACTAAGCCTTGGAGAGGGGACGGACCCGTCCTCTCTTTAAGGCTTAGTTCTGAGGTAAGCATCAAATTGTGGCGGTTTTAAGGACCGAGTTGAAGTAGTCCGTCGACCGTCGGGGACCCCATCCCCTCCCCAACATTCAGCATACGGCCCCAGCAGAAACGCCAAAAGGGCTGGTTTGCTTACTTCTCTAGAAGTCCCAGCGCGCTGCAGGTGTGGTTTGAACCGCCTCGTAACCCCCACACCGATGGCGTCCCATGAAGTCATCAAAACCGCAACGCCCCTCAGCCATCATGATCACCGTCCCCAAAGTGAGGTGGTGCCTCGCTGTTGTAAGTGGTAGCACCTGCCCGAAAAGCGAGAGATGCGGGCTCGATTCCTGCCTAGGGCGAAGTGTTTCACCGTCCGCAGCGCAGCATTCTCATGATAAGGAGATTTAGAATTCCACATCGCTATGCTGGCTACGTAGTGCTCATATCAACACTTCATGCTCGAAATGTCTCATCTCAAAACTTATGATGAAAGACATCGAAAGAAATCCCAAGAAAATCCTTCTCCCAAGGATTGAAAACATGACGGCGGGTCGATTGGGAATCAGTGTACATTCGGAACCGGTTAGAGCTCAGCAGTGTCGTCTCAGTGAACAAAATTCCATGCCAACCCTAGGAGTGATTCCACCGTGACAGCAGAAGATCGTATCGGCAACGGTTGCAGCCAGTGGCAGGTACCCACATGCTCGCTGAATTACTCCTTCCAAACATTCGAGTGACTCTGCCGTAGAAAAACGGCCCTGAAAAAAAAATACTGCATTTTATTTGGTGAAACAACCAGCGTCTTATGATAATCACGGTCAAAAAGAAGCTGCTTTACTAAGAACTCTTCTGGCTGAGAAAACTTATATGTGGTGAGACCCAGAAAGGGAAATGGTCGCGTGGCCACAGGGTAGAAATCAATCTAAAGAGGCGGAGGGAACACCTTATGGGACTGATCATGTCTGAGGGCTGAGTTCTCGAGGATGCCATCCCGCTTGTCAGCATGACATCATTTGTTGTACTGACAATCAGGCCTTGTCATCAGATCGTATTTGTTATGGCGCCGAAGCATGACCTTTGTGAAAATATGTTAACTTGTTTGAAAGCAGTGAAGCGGTTTTGGTGACGTCATGGAGCGTGATTGGTGAGGTTGCGTGAAAGAGCGTTAGGAAATGGTCCCAACCTTTTTTAACTGTTTTTCTGCTGATTTGAATTTTTCACTCCCCCTTATGAAATGTGAGTATATGTAAACCTTCAATAACTCAAAACAGAGAGGGTCGTATCAAGACCTTCTCTGTTTCGAGGAATTTCACACATCATCATCACATCACATCGCCCTTCACACACACTCACTTTTTTATAGGGGAGAGGGTCGAAAACCAGGCGTGAAGGGTGGTTTTTAACCGTCTCCACCACTCGTGAAGGGCGTCACTCACAAATGGAATGAAGGCGGATCATCATTTCAGCCTATTTTCTAAAGTTTGTATCAAAAATAACCAAAACCCGTCAAAGACGCACACCTCTCATTCAACCGCGACGCCCTTCATTTCCAAAAATACGAACCCCTTTCGGCTCTCTGACCGGTTGTTCAATCTCAAGTACGACCTCCTTCCGTAAATACGGCCCTCATCTGGATCAGTCGGGCTCCCCAGCGCGTTGAAGGATTCTGTCTATCGAAGACTTCGTCAAAACCGCTATTTTTTTGTTTAAAAGAGGAATTCACGATAAGAACTGTGGTCAAGGATGGGGAAAATTGCATAGCTGGGAGGCAGGCGGACCTACAAAAGGTGCTGACCGACGCGCAATTGGCAACCAATGATTTGACCTCCACGATCTAGCATGGCTCATTTTTGGCGCGGTTGGCGGGGTACGCCCACCGACTATCTAATCACTCGCCGCAGGTCTATACGTGGCGAGTGATTAGATAGCAGAGAGAGCGTAGTGTTGAAGAGGGCACAGCGATGAGAGTCGCATCAATGCGCAAATCAACGGGCAAAGAAAGGGGTCCCATTTCTCGGGTTCCGGGCCGTTTCAAATGGCTTCTTTTTCATCCACTGTACACCTCTATTCTCATTCCTAATGAGCTAACTTTTCATCGTAAGCTCTGCCTTTAAACTGTCCTGTGAACGTCGCATATCTTTGCCAGCCACTCTGTGTCCAAAGTATTCATCGAGAGACTACTATGAGCGTATAGCTCAACCCTAGCTAATCACCCAGAGTCAACTAACCTTTTCTTCCGTGCAGTCTATCACTCAGAATCATTGTCTGTTACTGGTACGGCAGGCCAGGAGAGTCAATATTTGTAGTTCTGTACAGAGTTCGGTTTCTGTCCTAACAAAGTTGTATAGCTGGCATGAGTTTTTATTACCAGACGATACGAAAGTTCCAGTTCCCCCATTACACACTGTCTCAGGTGACGTTCACTGCTGGGGGTTGATGCAATCTTAGGACGGGTAAGGCTTATCACCGCGTTCCTTGATTGATTTGAATTCTTTTCTTGGAAATGAATGTGCATGGGGAGAAGCGACAGGGATGTTCGTGGTTACGCGTTTACGCGACACTGGCACCTTTATTTTTAGCATCCCTACTGAGATCTGTCGGGTGATCGTTAGTCGTTGAGGTCTTCGCCATTCCAGATATTTTTGGGTGAACTGAACACAGTCCAGCTCCGCGGACCGCGCCATGGCTCTAACAACCTCTCCATCGTCCCGGGTTTTTGAATGGTAATAGCAAATTTGATGGTAAATGTTCCGCTCGTTTCACGATTACGGTACATGAACCTATTTTCAAACTTACTTCTATGTGTATAGGATAAACTTCTGAAGCACCTCGTAACAGATACACATGATTCGGCATTTGTTTCTGAAAAAATTCCTCCATTGTTTGAATCCGGGTGGATCTATATTGTAGACCTTCGCTAAGAGATTTTTAACTGCTGGCTCCAATGATTATTTTATCATTTTCCCCGGTAAACACACTTCATAGCTGTTTTCGTCGGCATCAAAAGTCAAAAGCGATCAGGACACGTGCGAGGAACAGATTTATATTTTTTTAGATTTTGTACTTTGCTCGGCTGGGGGTACCGCTAGAATACTTCTGTGCTAGAGACCATGCAACCAATACGTGGTAATCGCTTGTTGTTGACACAACTACTATAGAGCGCCCCGATTTTTCTAGTCTGCGGAACTGCGGTAAAAATGTAGCGTGGGGGTGAATGGGGGAACACTCCTCCTAATGTATGTTTTCCTTTGAAGAGCACTCCTCTGACCTCTGTAACACTAACCATAAGGGTAAGGTAATACGTGACCGAATTAGTTAGTGTTCTTTTGATGAGCCGGTGAGTGTCCTGCATCCCGCAGATCCTGCCCACATCCTATCCGATTTTTTGCACCTGGCCATCCACCCTAGGGCTGCTCTTTCTTTAGGCCTAGATAAAGGTCCCTGTCCACTCCCCTGATTCAAGACCGTTTCCATGGACCACTGCAGACCAAAATTTAAAAGCAAATCAGGTGTACTTCCACACTACACCAGACTTGTATCTAGAGTATATCCGAACTGGTTTGATTACATGTCATGAGCGCACTATATCTTAGCTTTAATATCGGGGAGTACAGTGGAGTGCTGCCCCCCCCCCCTCCGAACTTCTTTCTCATGAGGACTGGCCACACAGAGCGTGGCGTAGGGACGATGTCAGTCTTGCAAATCGAGCGATTCGCTAGCGTTCCGCGGTCGCGTTGCGGTACCAGCCAATTGAGTGATTCACTGGCCGCGACGCGACCGCGGACGCTAGCGTGGGGGCCACTCGCAAAGTCTGACATGACATGTCACGGAGCAAAATTAGGAACATCAGCAAAAGCTTCCAATTTACGGGTGGTTTGAAAAATTAGCCAAGTCACGCTGGAAATGGGCTCTTATGGTTTCATCTTTTCATATTGACTTTAATGACAAGTGTAATCATTCTAGAGTGAAACCTCACCTTGAGGGCAAAGAGAAGTGTGATAGTTTCCAGCGAGTAATACTGGCCATCAGCTGTGTATCCCCCGAGAAATAGAACTTTTCGCTTTGGAGGCCATCCATTTGAATGTAGCCATCGGTACACAGTGCTGCAAATAGTCAAGTCGTTGAGCTCTTTAGTATGGCTTCCAATTGCATTGTGCGCCTAAAGTTCTTTTACAGAGGGGACTGGTAAGAAACTTAATTGCCAAAGTCCGTAAGAGAACTAATTGATTAATTAATTGGGTGCTTATGTCCTTGGGGAGGAGGAGGGGGAGGAGCATTCAAAGAGCATTTGAAGACCGCTATCAGGTAACGCTGGGACTAACCCCGAGAGAGGGGAGGAACGCCAGAGAGAACGAAAATTGCTCTTATCTCTCACAGAATCCCTTCCCGTCCCTGAAGCTTACAATTAGTCCTAGTTATCGGAGTGTCTCCCTCGCTTGAATGTCCTCCCCCCTTCCAACAACATGAGCGCACTAATTGGTCTGGTGTTCTGATAGGTTTAATGAATTTGAGTTCTGATAAATACTGATATAAACGCGTGCTACTTGAAAGGCATGTGGATTTAGGCCTTGCTAGGTACGTTGGGACTAGGGTGAACCACTGTCGAGGATTCCTCAGCGGGGGGTAATATTCAGGATCTCTTGGGGTCGCAGGTGGAGTATGGGGATCGGTGGGGAAGTCAAATTAGGGGTGTAAAACAAAGTTTGCTGATAAGCAGTTATACATACTCCCTTTATCCACCTTCTGGATCCCGAAACTCCTCCAGACCTCACATTTCCCATTCGAGCCAGTTTTGGGGGAGTTTTGTGGTTTTGGGGACGATGTTGTGCTGTGTCACTTGTCAGCATCAGCATCAGCGTGCTTAGTGATCTGGAGGAAGTCGGAGAGAGGAGGGTGCGCTTTTTTCCACGGCGTCAATGTTAGGAGCGTGTTCGAGTAGACCATGTGATAGAGGATGTTGGGAGCGGCAATATCAATATCAATCGGTCAAGAAAATAGCTCGATTCCATTTAAGATAAAACCCACGAATAGTTGCCATCGAGGTTGCCATAAATCCACACGTCGGATGCCAACTGTAGAAGGCTAGGCTCGCGAGCTAGGAGCTGTGAAACTGAGTCGAACAGATCCCCGACCTGTGAATAGTATTTATTTCTGATTTGAATAGGTACATTTCTCTATCGAAGCCTTCTGTCTGATCTCATCTGGTCTCATTGGCTGCTTACCTCTGTGGGATCAAAATCAAACTCGTATGGGCCATGCTCGACCATTTTCATTGCGAGAGGACGAAAGTTTTGTCTGCACTTTCCGTTTCACCTAAAGAGCACATTTTACGCCAAATATCGCGTCTTAGGCTGAGAATGCAAGCGGGGATCTCATTGTCGTTGATTGTCATTGCTACATGAAAGTGAACCGTAAATCACTCATTCGACTGGATTTGAGCTAGCAAGTATACGGTATTCGGAATGACCGATTTACGGATTCCATCTACTTGCAGTGACAGCCTATAAATTGTTGACCATATGGTACGACAAAGATGTGCCGTGCACACGATTCCCACCTTCCTGGCATCTGAGTGCTACTTATCTTTCATGCTATTTGCCTTTTGTGGAGGTCAGGAGGCGTACGGAGTTTTTCCTGTTATAGTCCCGTAGTCACTGATCAATGGCGAAATGGTGGGGTGAGTGAAGTGGTAGGCTTTGATGGCCTGCCGTAGTTTATGCTCAGACTAATCCGCGATCGTGCTGTGACTGTGAGTCCATTTGTCGCTACCTCGCCTCATTTTTGAACTAGGCACAAGCTTCATACGATGTCTGTCCTACGCCTTGTATAGAACATTGTCGTCAATATATCGAGCTAGCTCCATCCCTCTTCAATATCTTTGGTTGAGTCTTCTCCCGTATTTGCGCTAGTGCCGTAAAGTCTTGCATTATAGGCTAGTTAAGCATATTTCTTTAGTGGGACGATCCCGTAGGGCGTGTGATGGTGAAGTAGCAAAACCGCTTGCACTTCAGCGGTTCGACGTCTAGATCGATCACGATTAGCTTAGTGGGACGATCCCGCAGGCCGGTGTCAGGCTATCTACCCCGCAGTTCGCCAGCGAATCGCTGGATTTGCAAAATCGGACACCGCCCGAACGGTCTAAAACCGCAGTTGACATAAATGAAAAGTGCTTGAAACATTCTTCAGTTTTTCTGCTTTTTTATTCCTTTTTTTCCACATTACCATTACTTATCTTCGCTCTGAAACCTATATGGGTGTCGCCATAGAGCTTACGAGGTTTTCAAATGGTAATTTCGGCGGTTAAAAGTTCTGTTCAAGATTTGAAGTTTTTCACACTAAATGCAAAATTTGTTTTGTTTCATGGCAAAGGAATGACGCTAGTTTGTGAAACGAGCTGAAAAAACCTCATGACTCAGAGAACAAGTTTATGCCATCATGTCGCATTTTCCAACTTAGGTTAGTCACGATCATCCAAAGAAGAGGTCATTTTGTCAAACAGAAACGAACTTCAGACGGGCAACGGCGTCAGTGAATGTCCCATCATCGGACAAAAGCGTCGCAAACAGTTGCAAGTTAAGATGCTGAATTTCTGTTTGTAGAGGGGGGGGGGCAAAAAACGACAATGTCTTCACATCAAACAGAAAAACCCTTTCAAATTCAGATCAGGTTCTGCTACATAAACTATAAATTGAACAACGATTCACTTCTCTCAGAAAATTTTCACTGTGATAGAACATCACTCATGGGCGTTGATTGGTGCGTACCTCGAGCTCAACGAGCTCCTTGACGGATTGTGTCCCATTGCAACCTCTTCGAAAACGCAGGTGGAAGGCGGTTTTGTGTAGTTAGAGCTACTGTCTTTGGGAAAATGCTCATCACTTAATCGATTGAAGAAATTATGTAGCAGCTTCAGGCTGGAGCGATTACGGTAAGCCTCGTTGAGCTCGACGGTGGTAGATGACGTCATATTCTGAAGACGGTGAGGGCAGTGAAGGAGGGCTTGCTTCTGCTTATGAAGGGAAATTAAGGAATATTCAGCTGTTTCCATTACCGCTGGGATCCTCTGCAACGAAATGGTAACTGATGTGCGCATAGGCAGAGTGTCTTCTATTGTCCACCCCCTCCCCCACGCTCCCACTAATATATGCGAAGCAGGGCGTCAGGAATGAGTTTCTAAGCATTACCTTCTGCTAGCGAACAGTCAAGAACACCATCAACATTCAGAAAAATCGCAGTCGTGCCCATTTACCAAATTCGAGTATTTTCTCTTGCACAAGTCGGTTGAATGGATTGTCAACAGAAACGATGAACTTCACTTGAACATTTGCAGAAAGGATATAAAGGAGTTGAAAGTCAGCGTTCATTTGTAATCCTATTTTTATTTATTTATGCTTAGTTACCGCTTTAAACCATGAGAATACTAATGTAAGCTGGAACAATGTTGGCCGAGTACGAGATTTTTACAATTATGACTTATTTGTCTACGTTCCCGCTTTCCAAATGATTACCGGACATGAAATGGGAATTTCTATTTTCCTATTCTTCTAGGCGAACCGATAGCCTACATATTTTCTTTCTTCCCTCCTTGGAGTTTGCTCAATTGCGCGCAAATAGGAAATTTTTGAAAGATTCTGAGAGTAGAGAGCCTGGGCGTCGTCGTCCTTTACTACCTTTTATACGCAACAAGGCTTTGCTTTCTGATCTCACAACAGAGTCGTATGTAGGCGTACACAGAGCTTTCAAATGGGATAGATGTTGGGTACTTGCAGAACATAGCTTGAGAAAGAGGAAAATACATAGACGGTGTAATCGTGTTGATAGAAGCTACGTACTACCAGCGTACGGATAGAGTAGTACTGGCGCTATCGTGCGCACTGTACTAACGTAAACGATTGTAAACATGCAGTTCATGTTGTGGGATTGCTTTTCAT